TATATATATATATATATATACATACAGGAATTGGCGTCCCGAGACCGTGTGGGACACGATGATATGGGCGTAGGTACGATCTTGAAAAGGGTCGGAACGGGTCTCATAGAATCCCCCTCCCCCCCGCTAGATCACCGCTAGAATGTGCTCGTTTTCTGTCATATATAAAATGGAAAACTGACGTACTGTTACCGCCGGTGCTCTCCATTGAGCCTCGTCCTCACCCTCCGTCCTCCGCGCCGGGACAGCGCGGAGACACGCGCTTTTGTTTCGCTCGAGGTGACCTCGGTTCGCAGACCTGCCGCTCTCGTAAAGCGCGAAGGTGTGCGATGATGATGTCGATCTTACCGCGCGAGAAAAACTGCTCGTCTCGTAAACGTGACGAAATGCCAATGGCCGAATGTTAACGCGTCCGATCGTGCATTCAGCATACTTATCTCTCCCGTCTCACTCGTAATGCGGAAAAGGAGGAAGAAGAAACTCACAAAATGCTAAACGCAGAGAAATGTATCTCGGCCATTCATGGCGCTCACGGTGGGTAACATAGTAGGTACACGCGTTGCGAGAACAAGTTGGCCGGCAATCTCGTCTGTCGCGAAAACATCCCTTATTTCGGGATGCACGGCACGCGTACGGTATTCGGGAAACGCGAGCGTGTAATCACACGGTTACCAGGCAAGCATCAACTCGTAAAATCTCGAGCTCTGGCGGCAGGAAACCGGCTATGAGGATGACGACGGGCGACGGGCGGGAGTAGTATGATCGGACGACACATGTGTGTGGCATGTACGTATGTATGTAAAGAAGAGAGAGAGAGAGAGAGAGAGAGAGAGAACGCGGGGAGATAGATGAACCTAGCATCGAGCGTGATGCACAAAGGGTAACTTGATACACAAGTCTTGATATGCAAAGCGCGTACGACCGGAGCACGTATCCGGCTACGATGTCAAGAATCACGAGCCGGCTTGGAGAAGTTACGAGAGCGAGCGAGAGAGAGAGAGAGAGAGAGAGAAAGAAAGAAAGCCGCGCGCGCGCGACGCAGGAGAGCCGTTTTAACAGCGATATTTTTATTCCGCCGCGACAATTGAAGTGACAACCGGGCTCTTTCTCGCGCGCACGTGCCGCGTTTGTTTGCGATTATAACGAAAGGTTTTGCACCATTAGGGAGTCGGTTGATAATTTTGCCGAGCGAGCTGCAAATCGAGAATGCAAACAATGCCTCCCGCGCGAGGGCGGCGCGGTAATTAATCGTTCGATTATACATATATGGCGGCTCGCTAATTATATTCCCCTATCTGTAATATACTCCGAAACTCTTGAATATAATCATGCGTTTAGCGAGATAAATACGAACGTGTTGGAACGCGCGCGGACAGTTACACGAACGGATCTGCTGCTGTTCGGATCAATTTACGACAGCCCCGGAAGGATCTGATCGTATCGCCATTCGTGCCGTATCGCGACTTCCCCCGAGCCGAAATGTTGCCTCAACGCGCTCATATTGGCAAATTCTCGTCGGGTCTCGAATCACCGAAGAGTTTCGAGACACAATACCGCATATGTATTGCCGCACATTGCAAACGATACGAAATAATTGTACTTGCCTATTAATCTTTATTCGATTGTTCCACGCTTGTTAATCGTACACACTCCATCTGCAGTGTTGAACAAGTTGCATAATTAATTGCATCGCGCTATCGAGAAAGTGAGATCAAATGATCCCGAGAGACGAGTTTCTCTTTAAAAACAATTTAACAGAGAGGGGAAACGGCAACCGCCGCCGTATACGTAACAACGAAGTAGGATAATAGAAAGATAGTGTCCTTCAAGTTCGACGGGATTTGTAGGGTTAACGTGGAAGCGAACTTTCGACTCTCGTTTCCCTCCCTGCGCGCTTTTCCTCCATTCTGCTTCGCCGTTCTTGCGGAAAGAGCGCGTTTTATTGCGCGCTATATATTCTACGGAACGGAGGCGGGTATACACACACACACACACACACACATTGCGAAGGGTACAATTATGTTTCGCCGGGAGTCGGGCGGAAGTTTATGTCCTACTAAAGCTGCTCATTAAAATTTTTAAGTCGGCAACCGCGAGAATTTTACAGTCGTGTTTATATGCCGCGGTACGTCAAGACGCAGAGCTGTGTATTCTTCATTGTCGCGAAAGCTCGTCGGGACGACACAATTAATTGGGGAATGAATTATGCTCGGGAATTTGTGTTACGTTACCGCGCGCGCGTGATGCGCCAGCTGAAATCCCGCGTCTTCGCGCGAAAGCACGTCAGCCGAGAATAATTCTATTTTAATCCTTCGTGAATCGCGCGCGCGCGCGCGCGTCGTTATTGCGAGAGGGCGGGGAGGGAGGCAACCGGTTTCCTTCGGGAGAAATTAGACACGCGCTGAGGCGAATATCGCGCGCGCGCGCGCGCGCGACATAATAACACATGTCGCGTGCTGAAGATGCGACGGACTGCAGAACGTTCCAAGCACGTTCTAGCGGGTCAATATGGCACAGGTCGCTGTCGTGACTATTATGTGAGAGGCCAAATCATTAGGACGAACACGTACGTTGATGTGCGCGCTATTACGAAAATGATGCCACTGAATTCAAGCAGCGCGATTCATCGGGGAATTCTACGAGGTCACCTCGATCGCCCAGCTGATTCTCATTCAAGTTGACGCGTTTGTCAAACACCGTGTTTCAGCGGCTGCCCGCGCGAACGCGGAGGATCGCGACCCCCCGAGTAACGTAGCAAACCTTTTCCGAATAAGCGAAAGATCTGTCGAGAGAGAGAGAGAGAGAGAGAGGGAGAGAGAGAGAGGGGGAGAGAGAGAGAGAGAGAGAGAGAATCCCGACGCTAATTAAGAACGCCCGGTAAATATGAGAGGGATCGTAAAAGCGCGAGAAACTTTACGCACGGGAAACGGAGTGGAAAATTGAGGGCAGAATTCGAAGAAGCATTTCCGATATATATTTCGAGACGCCATAGGCACGCGATAAGGCGCTGCTACGCCGGTAAACAAGATCGAGCGCGGCGCGGCCTCAGTTGAAAAGTAGCAAAAAGTTTCACGGGCATTCTTCGCCGCGGTAGAACCGCGGAGCTGGTTAATTCGATTTACAGGACCGGGTAATAGCCTGGGCAATTTTCAAAATTACTCCCCCGAGTAATTGACGTAGGAGTAAGAAGAAAGAGAGAGAGAGAGAGAGAGAGAGAGGCGCGCTCGTTCGGTCTCTCGGTAAAATAGACGCGGGTAACGATGTCGGGACGATACCGAAACGAAATGAAAATCGAAATTTCGCTCGAGTCTCGGCGTCGATACGAACCGTACTAATCGGATCTTCGATAATGGAAACGGCGTGACCCGGATTTCAGATATTTATCCGAAAGTGAATTCGTACGCGAACACTATTATATTACAAGCAAATAATTACATTTCGATACGATCGGTTGATTTTACTTGGGCGAAATCGCCGTCAGATTCGATTGCGCTCATCAATTAATTTCGAGCGTGGCAACTATAACGACTCGGAAGCTTGCGTGCGGCGCGCGATTACGATCGTTGTTAAAATGTCAGGCGCATCCCAGTCGCGGACGGAATTACGAGGACGTGAACTATGAAGTTCGTTCGATTGCAAATTGGTTTAACCGCGAGTACGTGCGCTGTAAGGCTAGCCACACACTCGGAGATTATTTACGACGACCCGAACTGTTCTGTGCGTACAGTTTGCTCCTGAATTTACGTTTTGACCAATCGCAAAATTCTCATCCGATTCGATGCCGCGTTTACAAACGAAACGCTGACAATGCGCCGAAAAGCCAAGTCACGCGAAATCGATTTCAAAGGAGGTCGGAAAAATTCAATACACCTGAAATCAATCGCCGAGGCCAACAATTCGCCGTAGCAACAATTCTAGCCGAGCGATATTATTCGCTCGGGGATCGAGCTGTTCAAACGTTTACACAGTCGGCAATCTCGCTACAATTTTTTGTTTCTTAAGTCGACGAAGGAATATCCGCGATTCAAACATTTTCGCAAACCCTAGACACCTACGGTCTGAAAGTAGTACGTTCTGAAAGCAGTCGTTAAATTTACTTTTCGTTCCACGTCAAAAGCACGAGTTTCCGCCAATCGAGCAGCGTAAAAAAAGAGCAAGAGGGGGTGAGAGAGAGAGAGAGAGAGAGAGAGAGAGAGAGAAAACTTTTACAAAGAGATCCGCTGGAGCTGGCGTGTCGAAGCATAACAGTTTCGTCAGTAAATAGTTAGTTCAGACAATGAGAGACGTTGAGAGGAACGCAACGAGCTCGAGCTGTAATTAATCGAACTGGCAATTATCTCTATGGCTAATGCATGGCCAATGCTTGCGCGCGTAACATTGAACGAGAGAAAACAGGAGGCAATTTCCGAGCTGAAATCCTGCGAATCTACTTGATGTGAAAATTTCTTGAAAAATATTTCAAAAATTTTCCCTTCGAAATGTCTCTTTAACATAACCTTTCAACCTTTCAACATGTCCTCTTCAAAGTATCCTCTCAAAGCGTCTTTTCTGAGAAGATTTGCAACCACATACGTCTCTCGTCACACATCTCTTGTCTTTACATAGCAAGAGAACGCGAGTAACTCTGTGTTACCCACGAAATTGCGTCCTTGACAAAGTCATCGTTCCTTTCTTCAAACGATCGAGCGCAACGAGATCGTCGATACATGAAGCAATATATCTCGCGAGCCTTCTCTCGCAACAAGAGCGCGCGTACGAGTTCAGAGCGTTCAGAGAGGCAGACGCGACGAGAGTCGCAGATTCTCGCGCGATATCTCCTTCTCTCTATAATAGTTAGCCGAAATCGCGAAACGGCAGAGGATTCGCGCGGATCGTTTACCCTTTTCATTTCGCTTAGCTTCGATCGGATCGATCAATAACGCGGGTATTAGAGGCGATGGGTTCAAGTTCCGCTACATGCGTGGACGGATCAACAGAGAATTCATCAAACATCGACTTACCAGCGAACGGCCGGGCTCTCCCTTCAGCCGAGCGTGTCGTGTAAATCTACGCGCGGTCCTGCCGGCCGCGTTCGCAGCATCCGGTCCTCTCGTGCCCGGAATAATCTGTATTGTCCGAAACACACTCCGCGCCGCGAATCACCTAAACGCGAACGCACCAAACGGCCAAGTCACTCCGCTTACGCGCGAGGAATCGCGCGAGTTACACTGGCGAGTCGCGCGGAAAAAGCAGTCGGGATCGCTCCGAGCGACGACACCCTTCGACGCTCGGTGTCACACACTCGAGAGGAGCGGAATCTCCCGTCAGTCCGTTTGTTGTCGGTTCGTCCGTCCGTCCGGACACGTCTCAGTCAGCACAATACACCCTACCGATATATCCGACGTATCTCCCCAGGATGAGCTCAATCTGTCCGGTAATACGTCGACGAATTCATGGTGATAGAAGTACGTAATAATCGAAAAAGCGTCGGTTTTTCGATCGCCACGACTCACGTGGACGGTCATACACGGAGGACTCGTCCGGAAAGCGAGGACCATCAATCACCGGCCGCGATCTGGTTATTAAACCGACGAGACGAGCGATATCGGTCGATCCCCCGCGCGAATTATCGACGGCCGTCGAGCGACACGGCCCGAGAGTTGGGCGATCCGGATCAGCGATGATAACGCTCTAATGACTCCTCGAGTCCCGTGCAATCCGCGCGGGATTGCCGAGACCCCCGGGAAAGTTTGCCGCCGGAGGAGGAGAGAGCGATTCGCGCGTCGAACGCAGCACACACATCGCTCGCTCTCGATCACGAAACGCTTCTCGGGGCGGAATCACGTCACCCCGAGACACGACCGTCGTCGTCGAGGACGACAACGAGCGCGGGAAGAAGTTTCCGCTGGCGCGTAAGCGTCAAACTTTCCGACTTTCCGACTTTCCGACGAGAGCCGCTCGCGCCGTCGTAGCCTCGAGAGAACGAGAGAACGGCGATCGTCCCGCGAGCGAGAAAACGTCGCGCTAGCGATTTCCCTCGACGTTTCGCCCCGGCACGCACGCTCTCACCCCCATCGCCGCGCGACCATCGCCTGCGATTACCTGCCTGCCTGCCTGCGACACGCGCGCGACTCTATCATCTACACACCGTCGGCGATACTCTCGACCGCTTCGCGTCACCTTCAGGTTCGTCGATGCGTACCATAGCGAGAAACAGGTCACAGTCGGTGCGCGTCGAGCCTGCCCGAGAAAGTATCATCGTGTACTAAACGCGTCGTCCATCCCCGAGAGTCCGCGAGGACACGGCGAGCGAGCGATTCTGACGAACGACTGGACACGGTAGGGGGCTCGTCGTGGAACGCGGAATTTCTCCACCAACCACGATCCTCGGTACGAGGGGCTCTCTCGAGAGGAAGATTCGTCGAGGAGGCGCGCTCTGACGTCGTGACGTGCTGAGTGTCACGCGCATGCAGCACGTGACGCGACGCGCGCGTGTATGACGTGGTGGTCGTGACAGCGATGGAACGACAGAAAGAGGACAGAGAGAGAGAGAGAGAGAGAGAGAGAGAGAGAGAGAGAGAGAGAGAGAGAGAGAGAGAGAGAGAGAGAGGCGAGAGGAAGAAGAAAGAAAGAGAGAAAGAGATAAAGAGATAGATAGAGATAGAGAGAGAGAGAGAGAGAGAGAGAGAGAGAGAAAAGAGAGAGACAGAGCCGTGAGCTCCACGTTAGCACGAGGCACGAGGTATACGAGGCACGAGGGGCGCCCGACGTGACACTCCGACCGGCACTGTGTACCGGGGTGCTACTGGGGATAGCCGTATGCTTGTTTTTGCAGAGCTACGCCGCGAGAGAGTGAGGCCGGGTCGGAGTGGGAGACGTAGGGTGAGAGAGGGTTTGACGGAGGGAAGAAAGGGGAAGAGGGGCGGGGGAGCGAGAGAGGCAGAGAGAGCTGCTGGTCCAAGCGAGACGGGCAATTGGCTGGAGTGTGTACGGACGAGGATAGCGATAACGGCGAAGTGGAAGAGCGCGAGAGAGCAGGCCGAAAGGGATGAAGTGCGAGAGGGTGAAACGGGCTACGAGGAAGAAGGAGAGGAAACGAACCCCCACCGGGGGTGGACTCGGCGGCTGGCCTCGACGTCGGTCGACGTCGCGACGGCGCAGAGCAGTCGCCAGGACTACTATCTCCCTCTCCGCCGACACCGCGGCTTGCTTCCCTCCCGTCGGGCGGGAAGGGCGACCCTCCATACACCTCTCGCTTCCCGACCCCGTGCCCCGCACCTTTTCCAGGGCCACGGATCGATCCGCGACGTCCGTCCGTCCGTACGTCCGTCCGTAAACTTGCCGCTACGGCCGTTATGCTACAATGTGTATTCGCGATCGGTCGGGATGCGTGTCGGCTGAACCTCTCTCACCCTCCCCCTTCCCCTCTCACTCACTCGCTCTCTCTCTCGTTCTCTCTCGCTCTCTCTCTCTCTCTCTCTCTCTCTCTCTCTCTCTCTCTCTCTCTCTCTCTCTCTCTCTCTCTCTCTCTCTCTCTCTCTCTCTCTCTCTCTCTCTCTCTCTCTGTCTGTCTCTCTGTCTGTCTGTCTGTCTGTCTGTCTCTCGCTCTGTTGGATATACGCGCGAGCGTACGCGTGCGAGGGCGCTTGTTAAGTTCGAGTTACAAAGCTGAGAATCACAAGGGGCTCTCCTGCGAAAAGGCCTGAAGAGAAGGAAAGTGTATGCGCGTCTGATTTCGCGAGGATGCGAGGGTGGGAATCGCGCGCCGAAGCGCGCGAGGACGAGAGAGAGCGGCTGCGGGACACGCGTGTTCGATTTGCAGTGGCTAACTGATAACGGGATCTCGCGCTTCCGTCTGCGCGGAGGAGGAAGGAAGCTTTCGTTAAATTCTGCCCTAATCGCTGCCACGTAATTTCTTTCCCTCGGCTTGCGGGAGGAGTACACTTCGTTAACACGACGATTAACGAAATTTCGGCGGCGGATCGGCGCTAAGCTGTAAAGTTAGCCGGGAAGTTAAGCCACGTTACTTTGAGCGATACGCTACAATCGCGCGCGCGAGTTACGCGAGTAGGCGAGAGAGAAAGGGAGAGAGAGAGAGAGAGAGAGAGCGCGTATGCTCGTTCGCCAAGTTCGTCTTTCGTATGTTCGGTTCTCGGCAAGCCGCGCGAAGCGCGCGTGTTGGTGCGAACTTGCAGTGCGCGGCCATATGCGCGCTTATCTGCTGACGTTACGTTTTAGTGGCGTGCACTAAACTCGCGCGCGCGCGCGCGCACGCACGTTGAATCCATAGTTTGTGCAGTCGCAATCTCTCACGATGCAAGTGTAAAATCGGCCGTTTACTTTGCTATTAAGAGCAACGCTCCTTCGCGCGGTCGCCGGGCTCGTTTGCTTCTTCCCGGGGGAACAGCTTCACCTTTCACACTTGTCAAACAGACACCACACACGTGGAAGAGCGACGAGCTATCGGACGTGCGGAAGTATCTCGACAAATGTATTGCCTTTCTAAAAAAGGCATGACAACATTGTGAATTTATTTCTTGTCGAAACATCGAAGCCTCTTTCGCGCGATGCTGACCCTTTCTCGAAAAGGGACGTGACAACATAGTGAATTTACTTGTTATCGAAACGTTTTATCGAAATTCTTTTCCGCGATGCTGATTGATTGTCGCGTCGCGCCTTACTCACTTCACCGCACATTGCATTGTCGCGCATTTTGACAGCTCGTGGTTATTCGCGGTTAAGCTTCGCGAGATTTTCCAGCTACCTCTGAGTTCTGAACTGATTCAGGCTTAAAAATTTACTCATTAGAATCGCAGTTATGTTTTTATCGTGCAAATGTGTTGTATTCTTTTTAACATAGCGCCAAATAGCGCGCGCCTGTAGTGTTCCAGTATATCAGAGTTTAAAAAGAAACAGAAATACAGAATAGAAATATAGAAATATAAAGAAATATAAAAGAACCAGTCACCACCCCTCGCGTCCGGGCATATTATTCGGCGTACTTTTCGACCGCGAGCTGTTCAATGAAAAACAAATTGTTTCGCCCCAGTGCTCCGCGTATGATTTATATCATACTTAGTTCGCCGATCGCGACGCTCGCGCGATATCGCGAGCTGCGATGCAACTTCGCATATGTTGCCGCAAGTTTCAAACGGAGCTTGCGTGTAACAACTGCGTAACTGTGCGGCTTGCACGTACACACGTTTGCAGCCCTGTTTGCCGCTTTGGCGTTCGTGTGCGCCGCTGCAACTTCGTAAATACACCCCTCGCGCTCGTGCTGCCGTCGCTCGCGTTTCAAATTCACGCGGATAGTCGCGCGCACTCGTTGCGCACTTGCGAGACGATCTCGAAGAAAACTAATAAGTCGAGGTGCACGCGCTGTCGTAGCGTCGTCGGCGTCGTCGTCGTCGTCGACATCGTCGAATTGCAACGCGCGGTATGTAACATGTTAAGTGCGGCGACACGCGAAATTCCATGTTCGTCTCCGGTCGTATCTACTCCGTGTGCCGAATCGCGTCCCGTTGTTTGATAGCTCAAACACGGACTTGCCCCTACGTGCTCGCGTGCACATGCATGCACACACGCAACACGCGTATGCACAATACACACACATACACACACACACATGCGCAATGCGAATACGCGCGCGACCCACGTGATCTATGTGCGTACGTTGTCCTCGTGATTCTCGATTTGCGCGACACGCGTATCGCCTGCGACACTCCGCCGTGTGTATATGTGTGTGTGTGTGTGTGTGTGTGTGTGTGTGTGTGTGTGCACGCGCGCTCTCCGCGATACAGACGCAGTTTGCTCGCGTGTCCGCTAATGTAACTCTTTGCGCACAGGCGTCACACCGGTCGGGCCGGACGTGTTACCGGATGAACCTTATCAATTCGCCCGCCCTTTTTGCAAATGGAGCACCGCCGTGGATAATTAATTAACCTCTTCGCTACAGCGGCGGTATGTAGGGAGTCGCGCGCGGCGCTACGTTATCTCCACAGACGGATATTACAGTCGCGTTTTGTCCGCGTTTCATGTCTCTTATACCACTGTAAATAACAACGCCACGGTCCGTAAATCCAAGATCGTTCCGCAAGACAGAAAAGAGACAGAGAAAGGGGAGGGGGTGGAGAGCGGGGAGAGACAGAGAGAAAAAGGAGGACGAAAATAAATAGAGTCTGACGCACGGATGCGCCGTCTGGGGATTATCGGCAATTAAAAATTGAAAAGTGCGAAAGATAAAATCCCCCTTTGCCGAATTTCAAGCGGATTTTAATAGAATTTCATCCGAATCCGTATTGTATGAGTTTCATTCGCGTTAAAATCTAGGTTACAGTAAAGCTTTTTAACGCGGGTTGAAAATATATTTCGCACATTAACGCAATCCCGAGTTTTTCCCTCGGCGTGAGAGAATCTGCGCTGATAATGAAAATCTGGTTATTTTAAAAACGTTATTGAGTTTCAGTTTGCAAAAGGCGCCTAATGCGCACAACTTGGAAAAATTAGATTTTTGCAGCGTGCCGACGAGAGAGATAAAGCCCGAGAAAGTATATTTTCTCAAACGCGGACGAACAGAAATTGCACGCGCGCGACAGAGAGTTGCAGCTTTAACGTTGCCCGACTATAATTATGATTACTACGATAATAGATAATAAATGAAGGTAATTAATGGCCGTGTCTAACTAACCACAAAGCGACATTAATTACGATGATTAACGATGTCCTCTGCGGCGTACGAGGTGCCAAAAATTTCCAACGCGCGACGGAACGTCCCGGGGATACCCCGACCTCGACTTTAACGACGGCTTCTTTGACGAATTTGTCGCCGACGTCATTCGCGCGCGCTCTGCATATATCGACCGCTCGTAAACGCACGTCACGTCGCGTCGCGTCGCGTCGCGCGAATATTTCGAGTGCGTGTGTTAAATGTTCAAAAATGTCTCGCGTTCGCGACGTTTTACAGAGGCCACGGCCCATGAAAGTTTGGAGCCGTGAGGTAAAACCAATATCGCGGAGGGAGCATTCCGTCTGAAGGTTGGAAGTTCTTTCGCCCGGTCTCGTCCCGGGAGCAACTATTTTCCGAAGTGTCCGACGCAAGCGCGAGAATTGGTCCGAGTCCAGTTTATTAAAGCCGATCACTACTACGCAGTTCCTTGCGCGGGTATTTTGATGAAATTCCTTTCGGGAGATGACATATTCACGAGCGCAGGGAGAAGCTTCGGACCACGTCGCCGTCGCCGCCGCCGCCGCCGCCGCCGCCGCCGCCGCCGCCGCCGCCGTCGTCGTCGTCGTCGTCGTCGTCGTCGTCATCTTCAAAGTGGAGTGCGATAATTTGCGCACACCGACCGGGCCCGTCCATTCGCTACGTGTGTTACATGCCAAGATTGCACATACATAGGCGATATGTATACATGTGCCCGGTCTACGCGCGATACCGTAGGGCGTACGTAGGGTGACTATAAATTATTGTAACGATTATATTGACAATTATACGCTGGACGATCGCACCAGACGTCGCGTGCAAATCGCATTCGCATCGGAACGATCTGCGCACGCCTCGGCCTCGCTGCAATTAG